CCCTGGGTAGAGTGCTGTGGCATCACAGCTCACAGCAACCTCCAACTCCTGGGCTCAAGTGAGTCTCTTGCCTCTGCCTCCCAAGTAGCTGGGACCATAGGCGCCCGCCACAACGCCTGACTATTTTTTGGTTGCAGCCATCATTGTTTGGCAGGCCCAGGCTGGATTCAAATCCACCACCTTAGGTGTATGTGGTTGGCACCTTAGCCACTTGAGCCACAGGCACTGACCCAGACATATGTTTTTAGCTCTTGGCTGTGTACCTAGGAATGGAATTGCTGGGTTTGATATAGCAACTCAATGTTTAACTTTTGAGGAACTGTCAAACTGTTTTTAGCAGCTGCTCTATCATATTTGTATTGTATAGTATTGTATTTTGTTTTGTTCTTTTCATTTATTTATTTATACAGAGTCTCACTTTGTTGCCCTTGGTAGTGTGCCATGGCATCATAGCTCACAGCAACCTCAAATTCTTGGGCACAAGTGATGCTCTTGCCTCCCAAGTAGCTGGGACTACAGGTGCCCACCACAACACCCGGCTATTTTTAAAGACGAGGTCTGGCTCTGGCTCAGGATGGTCTCAAACCTGCAAACTCAGGCAATCCACCCGCGTTGGTCTCCCAAATGCTAGGATTATTTACATTTTCACTGGCAACATATGAGGGTTTCGATTTCCCCATATTCTGTTCAACACTTGTGTTACTATCTATCTTTTGGGTAATAGTTATCCTAGTAGGTGTGAAATGTTACCTCATTATGGTTTCGATTTGCATTTCCCTAGTGGCTAATGGTGTCGAACATCTTTTTATGTACTTGCTATTTGTACATCTTCTTTAGAAAAATGTCAGATCTTTTGCCCATTTTTAAAAATTGGTTAGTTGTGTTTTTATTAGTTGTAATCATTTTTTATAATATGTATTCTGGATATTAGACCTTTATCATATCTATGATTTGCACATTATTTTCTCCCATCTTTGGGTTGTTTTTTCACTTTCTTGGTTATATCATTTGCAGTGTACAGCTTTTAATTTTGATGAATTAAGTTGATTTATTTTTCCTTTTTTTTGAGACAGAATCTTACTATGTCTCCCCAGGGCAGAGTGCCATGGCATCCTAGCTCACAGCAACCTCAAACTCTTGGGCTCAAGTGATCTTCTTGCCTCAGTCTCCCGAGTAGCTGAGACCATAGGCATTTGCCACTGTGCCTAAACAAGGTTTCGCTCTTGCTCAGACTGGTCTTGAACTTTTGAGCTCAGGCAGTCCACCCACCTCAGCCTTCCAGAGTGCTAGGATTACAGGTGTGAGCCACTGTGCTCAGTCCTTAATTTTTCTTTTATTGTATTTGGTGTCATTTCTAAGAATCCATTGCCTAATCCAGGGTCACTAAGATTTATATCTATCGTTTTAGTTCTAACATTTAAGGCTTTCGTCATTCTGAGTAAATTTTATATGGGTATTGTCTAAGAGACCATTAGTTTAAAAGACTACCCTTTTCCCATTGAATTGCCTTGGCATCTTTGTCAAAAATTAATTGACTTTAGATATGTATGTTTGTTTCAGGCTCTCAGTTTTATTTCGTTGATCTATATGTCTATATGCCATGGAATACTTTTTAAAGAATTATTAATTTATGTTTTAAAAAATATTGTCCTAATTTTCCTTGTTTTATATGTTCATATATGTTGTAAATATTACCTCTAATGTGTTCTAACTTCTAATTTCTGATGTTTTTTTACTGTATAGATGGTTTATGCTTTTATTTATTTTTTAAATTTTTATTTATTTTTTTGTTTCATTTTTATTCAACCGTAATTGTGTACATTGATGCATTTATGGGGTTCAGTGTACTGATTGATGTACAGTGTGAAATGCTTACATTGAACTGATTAATACATCCATCACAATTATACTCTTCTTTTTTTGAG